TTTGTCCCTCAAGAGACATTTGGCAATGTCTGAAGACATTTTTGGCTGACACGTCTTGGGGAGAGGAGTTGCTACAGGAATCTAGCGGATAGAGGCCAAGAGTGCTGCCAAACATCCCACAATAAAGAGAATAACTTTTCTGGAACAAAGAAATATCCAGCTTCAAATGTCAATAGTGCTGCGATTGAGAAACTCTACTCCCAATCTGGTTATATGTTATGTAAATTAACTCTTTCTCCTTCACTGGTAATAACTAAACTAAGAGCTAATTAAACTAAGATCTGTCTCTGGGACACTCATATACAAATTCTAATTAGCATAAGAATAATTAAAATATAGACATTAAATAAACTCAAATAGTTCATTATGGCTAAGTAGGTACTTAACAATGTTTGATAAAATGTCTATTAATAAATTAATCAAATTATCTTACTAGTTATCAAAATGTTGTTGAAATTGATTTTTTAATTGACTGGTATGCTTTATCTTTGCTTACTCTGCCATGTTAGTCTTTTGGCAAAACGGTAACATGCAGAGTCGATGCTCTGAAGGTAAGAATAGGGAAAGGAGAAATTAGGAGGCTTGATTAATCTTAAATTGGTTTCTTCTTCTTTGGTTATTTGGAAGTGGATAGTCTTTTAAGTGTGTTGTAGCTTGAATGTCCCCAAAATTCATGTGTTGAAATTTAATCCCCATTGTGATGGCATTAAGATTTTTAGGATGTGATTAAATCATGAGAGTTCCACTCTCATAAATGGATTAGTGCCTTATAAAAATGCTGAAGGGAACTACTTTAGACCCATTTGCTGCCCTTTGCATCTTTCCCCATTTGAGGACATAGAATTTTCCCTTTTTGCTCATTTCCCCCTTCCACCATGTGAGGATGCATCATGAAGAACCTCACTAGACACCAAAGGCCAGTGCTTTGATTTTGGACTTCCCAGACGCCACGACTAAAGGAAATAAATTTCTGTTCTTTATAAGCTACCTAGTCTCAAGTATTTTGTTAGAGCAACACAAATAGATTAACAGAATGTTTATTTAAAATTTAATAATGGGGTTCTCATTAGGCCAAAATCTAATTTGAAATGTAGGGAGAAATTATAATTTTCCCTTTGATCTATAAATAAAATTTAATAAAAGTTTAGTTCATTTTCCTTTAGATTTGCCTGAATAGGCTTTGGGGATTCAAATGGAACAGCTTATCATTTAAACTGCAATAGTTTGACTCTAGATTTCAACCCTACAAATATTGTGAGGACACTGTGGTTGTTGACAGAAAACAAAACAAAACAAAACAAAAAAAGGACAGCTTGGAGAACTAAAAATTTGTAAGTCTCATGATGTATATCTGCTTAGCTATTAATTTGAAACCTAACGACACTAATGAGATGACATATAAAAGAGAAATAATAGAAAAGTCTATGGGTTAGAATTTTAAGTGGAATCTATGGTGAGAACATTTTACCCCTGCTGTTGACTTCCCCCAGCTCATGAAGCCACTTGTGCCTAGTAAAGTATCTAAAGCAGTCCACATTATTTATGCCACATTTTTCTGTTCACTCATTTGACACTTTCTAAAAAGTACTAGTGCTTATCAGATAGTTTTCCATGTTATAAAATATAGTACTTCCTGTGGGACCACACATAAACTTTAAATTAAGACCTTGTGGAAATGATTCTTATAAATTACCAACATACTTTTCTGCAATCATTTGTAGGATTCATCCCACAAGAATTTTCTAATATTTTTCTTGATAATATACTAACATTTTTCTGACATAATCTATTCTTTTTTTTGGTATTATTATACTTTAAATTCTAGGGTACAGGTAATGGCGTGATAATTAACTCATTTCTGATCAATACAACATTGGAGAAACATGTCATGGAAGAAAGGAATATATAACTTTCCCACCAATCTTTTTTCTTAATTTATTGAGGTATAATTTATATGCAGTATACAAAATTTTATATATATACACACAAATACACATGCATATTTTATATATTATATAATTTTAAACAGTAGATTGCAAAAATCTTAAGTGCACAATTAAATTTTTATCTACATAACACCTAGTTATATATGTAACCACCACCCAGATTAAAATATAGGACATTTGCCCAAAAAGTTCTCTCATGCTTAGTGGTACCCATACCTTCTAGGTAACTGCTATTCTGACTTCTATAAACATAGATTAGTTTTGCTTACTCTTGAACTTCATATAAGTGAAATACAGTATTTCTTTATATATCTGGCTTCTTTTAAATTTTTTTAATTGTTGTGGATACCTAATAGTTGTACATATTTATGGAATACGTGTGATATTTTGATACAAGTATACAATGTGTAATGATCAAATCAGAGTAATTGGGATATCTATCACCTCAAGTATTTGTCATTTCTTTGTGTTAGGAACATTCCAATTCCACTCTTTTAGTTGTTGTGAAATATACCATGAATTACTGCTAACTACAGTTGCCCTGTTATACTATTGAACATTAGACCTTATTCCTTCTATTTGTGTTTTTTTGTGCCCATTAACATCTGCTCTTCATCCCGCCCTCTCCACTGCCCTACTCAGCCTATGGTTAAGCAGCATTCTATTCTTTATCTCCATGATATCCACTTGTCTTTAGCTCCCACATATGACTGAGAACATGCGATATTTGTCTTTTTGTTCCTGACTTATTTCACTTAATATAATATTCTCCAGTTTTATCCATGCAGTTACAAATGATAGGATTTCATTTTTTATGGCTGAGTAATACACCATTGTATATACGTACCACATTTTCTTTATCCATTCATCCATTGATGGACACTTAAGTTGACTCCATATCTTGGCTATTGTGAATAATGCTGCAACAAACACGGGAATGCAGTTTTCTCTTCAATATACTGATTTCCCTTATTTTGGAAATATACTCAGCAGTGGGATTGCTGGATTATACAGTAGTTGTATTTTTAGTTTTTTGAGAAACCTCGATACTGTTCTCCATAGTAGCTGTACTAATTTATTTTCCCCCCAACAGAGTACAAGGGTTCCCTTTTCTCCACATCCTTGCTAGCATTCATTATTGATGTCTGGCTTGTTTTTCTGAATGCAAGGTTTTGAAGATTCTTTCATATTTGTGTGTATCCATACTTCATTTATTTTTAATGTCCCAATAGTATAATATTGGATTTTTTTCCTTTCTTACTGAATTATTTTCAGCTTTTAGCTACCATGAATAAAACCAATATGAATATTTTGTGTATGTGTGTCTTTTCATGGGCACATGACTTCCTTTATCTTAGGTGTATAGCTAGAAGGACTGCTGAGTCATTTATATATATTTAGCTTTGGTGGATACTGCCAAAGTTCTCCAAAGTGGTCAAACATTTCACACTTCTCCCAGCAATGTATGAAAAAAAAAAATGCTCCACCAAAAAGGGTAAGAATATTTAGTTTAGAAATAATTATACACACATAAACATACACAAATATACAAAAGCATACCTCCCTCTAAGTTTTTGTTTATTTTTTAAAACATTTTTGGTGTGGCTATATTATTTGTCCTTCAATTCAGAAGCAGGTTGAGACAGCAATCCAAATAAAGCAAATTGAAAGGTCAAAACCTGAGAGGAACATATTTTAAAGTCTTCTCCATAGTGTAGACCAGTGTGTCCTCAAATCTGTCCCACAAAAAAATATTAATAGCTATTCCATTAAAACCATATCAGATAAGTTTGGAAATGAAGCACACTATATATTTTCCATACTATAAATGAATCACTATTTAAATTAGTATATTAGAGGTTCAGAGAAGTCCTATAGTAAAGACATCTACTTAACTTTGTTTAGCTTATTGTTTCACCAACCAGTGGGTTTATTTGACCATGGAACTCTATTCTACTATTTGTTAAGTATGCTTATTAATATCTTGGAGAATAACATCTTTGTGTTTCTTTGAATGAATCTTCAGACCAATGTGAAACTCCATTTGATTTAGTGGTAAGTCCTAAATTAGTGATCACTTTTCTTTAAAAAATAAAAGCTATACCAACCCCTGAGATTTTTAAAGCTCTTGGAAACAGGTAAGACAGTGGCGGGGTGATTACTGTGTCTGACTGTTACATTGATAAAAACAACATGGTAACCATACTATCTGTCAAGGCCCAGTCAGCAATACCCTTCTTTTACTAACCATCTATTCTTCAAAGCTCCCAGTAACATTTAATTTGACATGATATATTTGCAAGTGTACTTTCTGAGTGAATTAGCAGATATGTGATAAAAATACCAATTACTACTTCCCTGGAATCACCTGTAGCAAGGCGTATATGACATGAGGAAACATACAAAGTTATACATAGGATCCTTAAAAGAGCAAAAATAGGGAGAAACCATAGAACAAAGGTATTAGGGTAACATTCACCCTTCTCCAAAATGAACAAGGTTACAAAATGGTATGTGCTGGTTACAAAATGGTATGTGCTGCTCACAAGAGAAACTACAGCCGTGCGAAATGATTACTGTATGAGAAGTGAATGTGAAATACAACTATCCCAAGCAAATTTAGTTTCATTTATCCAGTACTCCATCTGTAAAATAGTTTCATAAATTTTCCTCTTAGTCTTTGAAGTAAATTCTACTAAATCTAGCTTAAAATTTCAAAAGTAGACCCAGGGACAAATCCAAGAAAAATAGCCCAATTCAAAAGGAAAATGTGAAACCGATTTCACAACTAAGTGTGAGTACTCAGACATGTATTTTGAACATTAACCACAATAAGTCCACGGAACACAATGAGCACAGGCAGTAGCCATCACACTAAAATTACTCACAACGAGGTGCCTTAGATACCTGGCTGGGATTCTCACTCTTTTGAAATGAGACCAGTTTCAATTTCAAAGCATACAATTTCTTGTAATAATTTTCATTTGGCATTTTTCACCCGGGTTAACAGATCGTTTCCAATTCAACCCAAGTGCAAATGTAAACTTCACTTACCTGCACAAAACCACATGCTGTGAAGGCCTCAAACAAGGGCAGACTTGGGCGGTCTTCTCTATAGATGGTGAGTTTGTACGTGATCAGGGTCTCACCATGTGCTGGAGATTCATCCACCACAAATATTGAGATTTTGTTCATTCCTAAGCCCAGAGGGTAGCTGGCAAACCTGGAGAGAAAGAGGGAGAGAGAAAGAGAGAGAATATGAATAGGGGAAATTTATTCAGCCCAAACTGATTCATATATCAATATTTACTAAATGCCTATTTGAATAAATAACAGGAAAGGTCTATACAATTTCATAAGAAACCTAAAATATGAAAATAAATAAATATCTCTTTCACGGTACTTTACTATGCCAAGAGTGTTCTTTCAGGACAACTTATATCTTCCATAAATTAAAGCAAAGGAAACTAATATTTATTAGCCACCTGCCAGGGTCACACATTATCTCATTTAATACAACTAGGATTGTTCCCATTTTAAATATAGAGACCATGACCTAGAACTAGTAAACACATCATTCAAAGTCACACAGAAGAGTCAGGGTTTGGAACCCGGGTTGTCCTGACTTCAATCCTTTCTACTAGACTTGGCTCTCAAGGGTTCCAAGTACATTTCTTTCCCTACAGCATGGAACCATGAGTATCTTCTTTGCTATGGACACAGCACAGAATAAGGTTCTATCTTCTGTTTAAAATTATGAACAAAAGAGTTGCTGACTTTTAAAAGAATCAACAGGAAAAAAAAGCCAGTGAGGTTGGGAAAGTTCGTGGTACTGTGTCCACAAATTGTGCACCAATTGGTTTAAGCAATCAATTTTTGAATATTCAAAAACTTGACATATTCAGCAATGTTAAAACATGAAGACAACAATAAGTGAGATTTTTTCCTTAATGGATCTTCTCTATATTTCATATAACAAGATCCTTTCTTGTTAAAATATTGTTACAAAGATGAGCTGCAAAGGTTGCCAATCTTTTTTAAAAAACATGAGAAGGCGAAAGTTCACACCCTGGCAATCTTTCCACTGATCTTACGAATCAGCTTTTCTGAACCACTTTCAAAGTTTACATCAAATGTCTGCTTCCCAGTAGGGTGTCTCAACACAGCCCCAGTCAACATCCTCATACCTTGGCCCTGCCTGCTCGTACAGGTGCACCTTGCACTGACACTTAGGAGTCTCCACTCCAATTGTCACTGTTACCACATCAAATGGGACTTCAGAGTAATAATCTTTGATCTTTGGATTAAAGTCGGGATTTAGTTCCAAACGCGGATGTGTGAAGATCTGCTTGATATGACATGGTGTGTTTTTATCTGCTAAAAAAACAAAAACAATGACAAAGACAACTGTGAAGTGGGTAAATATCTTTAAATAATAGATGAATAGGTTTTTCTTTTTCTGTTTCCTTTGAACAATTTCAATGATCCCTGCTGACTTTCCAATCAGTACCCTGATCATACATGATTTGTGGCTGCAGCTGGCTTTTCAATTCATCAGATTTTGTAGAATTTGCCTCATATAACAGCTGTTGACTTTAGTTGGTGTTATATAGATGGCATTTCTGCTCAGTCCTTGAAATTTTAAAGGCACAGAAGGTGGGAAAATGTCTCTCCTGTGGATTGAAAACATTTTGTGATATTTACTGCATATATCAAGCCACTGTGTAAGTGGGAGTGATGGCTCTGTGGGATGGTGGCAGAAGGGGACCAGCAAGGAATGAGGAAAATTTCTTAATGTGGAGTGTCATTGAAATGCCATTTGATTGATATAGTATCTTATAGGCAGCATGAGGCAAAGACTGCAAGCTCCAGTATTATACAAAACAGACACGAAAACAAGGGCATCCTGAAACTGCTCCTTCTCAGGCCACCTTAATTGGGAAAGTACCATAAAGTATAAGAAGGAAATACTATACTCTGCTCCATCCTGTCACAGAACCTAGAATATTACTACATACCATTGATTCTGAGTCATTAAAAAAATCTTTCTCTTTGTTAGCCCAATTGTTTACAGCTTTATTTCAGTGACAAAAAGAAGAAAAATAGCTTTATAGGCACATACACCAGCTACTGTTACATTATATTCAATGTTAATGTTTAGAATAAACAAATTACCCAAAAGCTTAACAAAATGTTTTTCAAAGAAATATCAAGGAGTATTTCATTCTTTCAATACTTTCCAATTATCAACAAAATATCAACAAAGATAAACATAGAAAATTCTACAAAAATCAGTAAAATGAAAGTGTCTTGGTGTTTCCTTACATAAAATGTTCAGTGACATTTAACATGGCAACAAAAAAGATAACACAGAATTTGCTACAGGAAGCTATAAAACTGAACTTAGAGAAAGGAGATTATTTTATTAACTGTTGTGTTTATTAACTGTATCCTCTGTTTTTACATAGCTATAATATTGATTTTCCTAAAATCAAATCTGACAATTTGTCTTCCATTCTTTAGTGGTTTCTCATAATTTCCAGAGTCAACTCCAAGCTCCCAACAAGGCAAACAAGGCATTTCACAAGCCCTTCCCTGTCTTGCTCTCCAGCTGCATTGCCCATTATGCCCAGACTTTGTCTTCAACAAGACCAAAATTTTTATTTTTCTTTGATGGACATGGAGGTGCACCACCAAATCCATGATGATGGGTGCCACTAACCCACATGGATGCTTCATTCTAGTTCTGGGGACTAGGTCTCTGTTTAGCTCCCATTATGGACTAAAACAATTAAAGGAAAAATAAAAAAAAAACCCTACATATTTCTGACCTATAAGCTATAGTTTTCTCAGGCTATGGAAGAAAAACAAATTCACGTATAAATTACTAACAATAATAATACAATATACTGTAATTTTATTTCATAAAAAAGTCTTAGTAAAAAATAACCAGTAATGTTGGTTGAATAACTCATTGAATTGGGTTAACTGTCTGCTTCATTAATTTTACTTGTTATTTGACCTAATGATCAACCAAATATAGTATCTGGCTGATAGATGTAGGTGGTCTGCATCTATAATTTCAACGGTGCTAATAGCCTTTGACATTTTCTTATAATAAAAAAGAATGAAGGCAGAAATTGTTTTTATTAGAAGTCATTCTGTAAAGGACCACAGTTTTTAATTCAAATTCAACCACTTATCAATAATACATTCTTTTTTCATCAAAGTTTTCTCTCCAGTATTTTCTCTGTTAAAGACCCTGAGATAAGCACAATAAAAATGGGATATTATTAATCGTGAGATTTGATTCAAATGGCTGCAAACCTAACATAACATTAAACAAGCTGGAATTGAGTTATGGGCTGTGCTTTGGAAATGACCATTGCTCAGGCACAAAGGGAATATAAACAGTTGCACTTTTCTGCTCAGAACTAGCTAAGTGAATAATAAAAAGGAAGATCTTTTTTCAAAATCAAACATAGAAGATGTGCTTTAACTTAATAGGATATATTTTTATAAAGATTCCCTGAGAGTTAATTTCCCTGCAGTTTGTACTTTCACTTAATAGTCACAGTTTTCAAGAGGGTCTGCCTCCTTAGAAACTGAAACAGCCCTAGATGCCAGGAAATAAATGTGCAATCGTTCTCTTCAGCAAGTGCTTACTTTTGGTTTCATCAGAAAGTCTCCACCTCTGGTGTGAGCACTATCTCCTAAACCCCTGTCTGAAAGCTGATTTAGTTCTGACATCATCTTCCACTGAAGTATCAGTGTTGCCGCCTACAAACACCTGGTGTTTGCTTGGCATCTTTCCCATCCCAGTCTCAACTTGTCTCAGGCCAGCTTACCTGAGATCTACGGAGAACTCAGCACGAGGTTCAGTGGTAGCAGCCTGCTTAATCTATTCGGCAAGTATATATGGGAAAGCTGTTTGAAGTTTTGGTTGCTTTTAATGGATTTCTTTTAACCACAGAATTTGATTGCCCTCTTGAGGAATAATCATAACTCATATTGAACATGAGAAGAGCCTAGACTCTTAAAGATAATCCCACCTGTTCTGAGGCATCCTCACATTATTTTTTAAATCTTATTTTATACCATAAAAGTAGGAAGATTAATTACTAAAGATCCAGGCAGGACTAATTTTTATCAGCATAAAACCATGAACGAAGTTAAAAAGCCTATCTAACATGTTCACATCATCTATACCATATTACCTGGGAACTGGGCAGGGGCAGGGTGGGGCGGGAAGTGAGATCGTCCAGTGCAATCCTTTCATTTTACAAATGAGAAAATAGAAGCCCAAGGAGGCGGAGTGGCTTTCTGGATGTCTCATCTCGCCTTGGGCCTGGCACAGAGTAGACCCTCAACAAGTGTTCATTCTAATTTTGCTCCTAGTTTTCTCACTAGTCCTTTTCCCACCATATTCTAGACAACAGTTTTCCAGGAGAATGGAGTAGCATGTATTTTTCTGGGGGTAGGAGATTGGGTGGTGAGTGCAGGGAAGGAATGGCATAAGTAATATGTGCTATCTTTATTCTCTATTAGCAATACTTTATTTAAAACGCCATTTTCTTTAATTGGCTATATATGTTAATTCTATTAAATTATATTATTATCTCAGCCTACCATTAACTTAACAATACTGATAAAACATCGTGAATGAATTAAATTGCATTTTAGATCTAAAAACTAGATTTTATTAAATTCAAAGACTTCTATTAATAATAAATTAGGCCAGGCATGGCAGCTCATTTCTGTAATCCCAGTACTGTGAGAGGAGGACCACTTGAGGCCAGGAGCTCAAGACCAGCCTGGGCAACAGAACAACACCTCATTTCTATACAAAATTGCATAAATTGTCCAGCTGTAGTAGCTCATGCCTGTAGTCCTACCTATTTGGGAGGCTGAGGCAGAAGAATTGCTTGTGCCCAGGAAGTCAAGGTTGCAGTGAGCTATGATGGTGCCACCGCACTCCAGCAAGGACAGCAAAGTGAAATCCTATCTCTAAAACATAAATAAATAAAATAATATAATAAATTAAATCTAAATCTGTACTTTTTTTCAGCTTTAATGTTTTACTGAAATTGATTTTTATTTGTGGAAAACTAAATTTTCTAAGTTGATTTTTAGCACCAAATACATACATATATACATATGCACACACATGCATGTGTGTATATATATATTTAAGGTATGCATTATCAAGAAAAATCTTGCTATATAGAACTCAATTTTTCCACAATATATTATAGAATATTAAAAAAAAAACTCAGGGGTTTTTCTTTTTCTTTTCTTTTAGAGACAGGGTCTTGCTATGTCACTCAGGCTGGAGTACCCTGATGCAATTATAGCTCACTGTAACCTCGAACTCCTGGGCTGAAGTGATCCCCCTGCTTTGGCCTCCCAAAGCACTGGGCATATAGGTGCATGCCACTGTGCCCGGCCTAAATTCAGGAGCTTTGAACAGAGAATCTGAAGACCCAGCTTTGTGATACAGCTCAGGCATTTAATAACCCTGTGACTTTGGAAAAATCAGTTAGACTCTCTAAGATGATATATTTGTGAGACCATTGTCTAATTGACCAGAATGAAGAAAATTATTTTTAAATTTAAAGTTAATACAAACTTAAAAGTATCTATTTTTCTCCTATTACGTCTTGGTGAAGAAATGAATTAAAAAATTGAAAATTGGCTTAACTGTTATAAAGAAAATTCTACTGAAGTACTAACCATTACAACAACAATCTGGTGAGAAATAAATCACTGCCAGGTAGTGAGCCCCCTAAAGGTCAGTGTATAAAGCTGATAAGCCAAGCTCTTACATTTGAAAGGCTTCCAAGGCAATGCCCTAGAACCCCTAAAGCCTTTCAAAGTGGGTTTGGAAATCATTGTCCTTAAACAAAAAAAGTAATGCTTTATGTTCTTATGCAAAAGTGGTAGATACTGACTCCCTCAAAAATCTAATAACTCCTAAAATTTACTTTAACAATTAGCAGCCTAAGATACTCAAATATAATAAAATGATGGGGTTTTTTTTTTTTTTCAAAATAAGGCTGTTCCCTAATTGTTGATTATGCTGCTACAACACTTCAATCTCAACTCACCATCACTGCAATGTATTTCTTTATTTTCATTCTTAATTTGTGGAACTGCAGCTAAAAAAAAAACAGAAATGTAAATTTAAAATAAAAACCATTAATCAAAATTTAAAATAACATTTAGCTATTAGATAACTTAATAAAACATGTTTTTTATTTAACTTTTATTATACTAGTGAACACTTCTAACTAAAACTGGAAGCTACAATAAAATAAGTTATTTTATCCAAAGCTCAGCAGAATTATTATTTCAAATAGAAAAATATTAAGAGAGAGAATGAATGGCCTAAATGCCATTTATTGCCTGAAGTTGATCAGTCAAGGTGCCGTATAGTTTCTATATCCTATGACTATAATTTTCCAAATCATTAGAATTATAGAAGTGCCATCCAGTTGGTTCCACTAATATTTACTCTATATTTTTTAATTCAACCAAATATTTATTTTAAAAATGCCTTAATAAATATTTATGAAACAAATGAGTGAATAAAACACTCCGGGTGCTTAAATCATTCATTTATAGAGGAAAAAACTGGTGGGTAAAAGAAAGGCAGTTTCTCTCAGTTCTCCACTGTACCTACTGATTCATTCTATTGAACCAGTTATTCTCAAACTCTAGCCTCAGAATCATCGGAAGGGCTTGTTAAAACACGAAGTGCTGGGTCTCATCACCGGAGATTCTGATTGAGTAGATCTGAATTGCTACGTTTTCCAGGTGATTCTGGGGAGAGGGGGACACACATTGAAAACCACTGTATTGGGCTAAATCCTGTTTCATAATAGAAAAACTTTGAACTAAAAAAAAATTATAGACATATGTGTGGGTACTTCTTTTCATTTTTTTCTTTTTAAAATTAGAAGTAATTTTTTCTTGTAACAAAAAGTTCAGATGTTCTTTGGAATGAAAAAATGAGAAAATAGAGATAAGCCGAAGAGGAAAAATATAAATCACCACGAATTTTTCCTGAGCTTCACGGTGAGGTAGCCAATTGTTAGGTTTAACAATAGATCATAAACAATTTTCATGTCATAAATATTCTTTCACAACATAAGAATGAATTTACAACATTTTATTTGATGACTCTAGCTTACTTTGTGTGTCCAGTCCACTCTTATTGCAATAGTAATGAACTCCAGTTTTTAAATTTGTTGATAATTTATGTAATTAAGTGTTGTATATATTATTTCCTTAAAATGAATATCTAGAAGTAAAATTTCTGATCTATAAAAATAACTTTTAAAACTTTTCTTACATTTTGTTAAATGGCCCCTTAATAGAGGTTGTTCTAATTTATACATCCAACAGCACTATGAGAATATTTATTTCCCTACTCTCTCCCCAACTCTATCTTTTTTAAAGTTTTATTTTAATTGACACATAATTCTGGGGTACGATGTGAAATATTTTGATACATGTATACATTGTGTAATGATTAAATGTGGCTAATTAGCATACCCATCACTTCAAACATTTATCATTTCTTTGTGGTGAGATTATTCAAAATCCTTTCTTCCAGCTATTTAAAAATATACATTGGTTAATGATAGTCATTCCACTGTTTAATAGAACAACAGAATTTTTTCTTCTATCTAACTATAACCAATCTCTGGCCGCCTCCTTCCCTCCCTACCTCCCCAGCCTCTAGTAACTACTATTCTACTCTCTATGACAGCATAAAACTGGTAACCCCTCTCTACTTCTGTGAGATCAACTTTTTTCAATCCCACATGAGTGAGATTACTGGGTTTTTATCTTTTTGTGTCTGGCTTATTTCACTTAACATTCTCCAGGACTATCTATGTCACAAATCACAAATAACAGGATTTCTTTCTCTTTCGTGGCTGAATAGTATTCCATTATGTATATATACCCCCATTTTGTTTATCCATTTGTTCACTGATGAACACTTACTTTGATTCTATATCTTGGCTATTGTGTGTAGTGCTGTAGTTAACACTGGAGTACAAATATCTCTTCAACATACTGAGTTCATTTCCTTTGGATAGATATCCAGTAGTGGGATTGCTGGATTCCCTCTCTATTATTTTAAGAAAATTCTTTCCAAATTTAAGGAAAAATAGTATTTCCTCATTTAATTTTCATTTTTGATTGCTAATGAAGCTAAATATTTTGCATTTTTTTTGACAGGAAATACTAAATAAGTATTTAGTTATGTTGAAATAAGTGTGAATATACATTTATATCTATAGATAGATAGATAGATAGATTTACCTTTTTTATTTTCTATTGCATCAAATCGTACTTGTGGTTTTTCAATGTTCTTATCCTCTGTGAAAGAATCCCTGCAAATGCAATGCCAAACAACTCTGGATTAATGAAATGAACAAAACTCATGGAAATTACATCTAACGCTATCTCTTCTTCCGTGTGGGCACAGTTACTTTGATGAACACAAAAAACGCTTTCTGCATTTCAATCCTCAAAACTGGCAATCTACCCTTAAAGGAAATAGGTGGAAATCTCATCATCCCTAATCAGCAGAAGCACATTTGAATAAAACCAGGGTAAAAAGTCACTCTCAGTCCAAATCTGAGGAATCTCAGATAGCTTGGGTCCAACAGAAGTGATTCAAGAATACACATTCTTCTTAGAAATCTGTTTGGCTATAGTTATACTGTTTTGGAGCAAAACGTCTTGGAAGCACCGAGGCACAGCCTGAGAAGAACATACATTTAATTGAAGAAATATAAGTGTACCATGCAGAAAACGACCTATGTCTTGCCAAGTCTTCTACCCTTAAACTCTAATTAACAGTAGTGAATAGTAAGGGTTAGTTATATTCTGGTGTGTTCACCTAACTTTCTCTGTTGTATAACTAAATACTTGGCCAGATTGCCCTTCAAATCCTCAGATTTGGGACGAAAATAATTTAAATTGCAGACAGAAAAATTGCTGGTCCTGATGATAAAGAACAGCAGGCAGGATCGTCTGCAGGCCCCTGACAAGACTTTCCTGTGCTGGTGCAAATCTCCATTTCCACCCCAGCGCAATGGAGATAACAGTGTTTACCTTACTTCACAGGGATGCTATGAGAGTTAAATACAATATTTTAGAAATATGTGTTGTCCCAGATATTGTGCTGGGTACTGTAATGGAGAAGAGATAAATAAGACATATTCAGCTCCAAATATAAACATCAGCTAAGAAATTTAAAAGCATCAAGGAATTAAAATTATTGCTAATGCTGGAAACCATGATAATTTTTTACATGATAATTTTATTTTAAAAACTGTTTATTCCAGGTGACTCTTACAAAAGACAGGACCCTGAAATGCACAGAAACTGAAGTTTGGAAAGGTTACTATCTTAATGGAATGAGACACTCTGTATGTAAAGGCATCCTGCAGTGATTTTCTGCATAATTTTGTGAATACATTGTTTCAAATCCATGTGGATTTTCATTGAAAGCATTTTCTTAGAGTGATATACAATGCAACTGTATTTCTAGTAAGGTAAAATTAGCACATGGTGCATAACCTTGATTTTAAGATTTTCATTCTTTTCAGATTTACACTAATTCTGTTGAGATCTCTGGATTTTGAGCCTCAGGACAAATACATAACTATTACCTAGTATTGTCATGCTTTCCTGACTTTCTTACCTCATTGCTACAAGAGAATGATCTTTCCTGAAAATGAAAGATGAAGTCATTGAACACAGATAGTGTACATCCGTAAAGTTGATATTTTCTATAGAAAAAAACTGTGGTAACCATTGGGAAGATAAGGACAATGATGACCTCCCTGTCTGCATGATTTACTGGACCATGAATGAGTCCTGGACCAAAGCACTGGACCACGGATGAGAAGGCCAGGGTCCTAGTTCCAACTCTATTTCTATTAGCTTCGTAACCTGAGCAAACGACCCATCTTCTTAGCACTTCATTTTCTCATCTGGAACATGTATATAACATGCACCCTCATTGCAATATGGCATGAATGATAATTAAATATATACACACTTACCGGTAACCTTGAAGATAATTAGATTTGGGCATTTTTTTCTTGAATGCAAATGAAATTAGCAATATACTAATTGCTTGTTGACAAACATAATAAGGTTTACTTGTCTCACTATTAACTTAAATATTTCAAACTTGTCTTGCTTTTCCCATTAAAAAAGAAAAACATTACCCACACTATAGAAGCTAAAATAATCATTGAATAGAAGCATGGAAAGGAAAGTATACTGATATTTACTACCTACCTGTGCTACAGCGTATCAGATGCTATGAAGCAAACGAAAGTTATTTTATGTAATCATACTGAAACATACATAGTTCATAGTATAATGTATATTTTGCAGATAAGAAAACTGCAAAATATAGAGGGGTCCAAACCTTGTCTTCATAAACTCTAAAGTTGGGATTTTTGAATATAGTCTCTATGATTCAAAAAAGTCCTCACCCTTTCCAACTATACTCAACACTGACCATTAGCAAATTTTCTTATTGAAAGACTTCAATCTTCTAAATTTAAGATCAGAACACTGCTTTATCTTACAACCTATGTGGAGTTTGAGAAAATTTTGCTTGGGAACAAACTTTCCAAAGTTTGAGTATCTTGAGGGAGCTTCCTCAAAGTTAAAAACAATAATTTTAAATAGCTTCCTTTGGAAATCGAGTCTGTTTTTCACCCATCTATAATAAATGAGACAGTCTTAGATTATTTGAGTGAGTGTAAAGCACGAAGTGTCTCTGAAGTATGTTATTTAAAACCTAATATGCAAACACATAAACAAAAGCTTCTTCTAGGTCTACTACTTCCAGGTATTGAGGAAATAATACCAGCTTCTTAAAGCTGTGGCAACTAAAGTGAATTCCGATCCTGAGACATGTCCTAAGAATTCTTCAAATATACGATCATTCAAATTTTTGAATTGTAAAAATAAAGTTTTTATAGAACTGTTTTCAGTATATCCTGAGCAGAAAGAAGTGAAGTGTAAGTCAATAGAACCAAAGCCATGGCCCAGGGTGACTGCAAAAGACTTAAATGATTATGGCAGGGCCATTTAGTCTTTCATCTCTCTAGGAGGTTTAGGTTTACTTCTGTTTTGCTGCCAGTAGAAAAGTCAAATACTCCCGTAATACCATCCATATAAAAGAGAAGCAGAAAAAAACCTTAGGTGTTGCCCCTTTTCCCTAACTAGTGGAGGTAAAATTTTATCTGTCTCAGTTCTCTCTTACTCCCTAATTACTAATTCTCACTAGAATGGAAGTGAAGTTGGGAAATTTTATCTTACCCAAATATTTTCCTCTAAGATTCTATCTTCTAAAAAAGGAAAAACTCCAAAGTTCTACCTTCTAAAACCAAAATATGAATTGTGACAAAGACAGAACATATGTATATACATTCAATGGGTTTTGCTCAGAAAAAAGTCACACCTCAAAAACTCTCTAAATACATAATCTTACTGTCTCAAGCTGCCACTCTGACCGATGGTTCATAAAACAAATCTCACCTAATTATTTCTGTCTGATACCCTCACAATTCAAGAATATATATCACAGAAGGAAACTAGATTGAAACTTTCAATTCTAAACATTATAGTGGAGTCAAGTCTTGTTGGTTTAAAAAACTGTTGGATACATTTTTATTAAAGTGTTTGAAGACCACTAGAATCATTATGGTTTCAGTGTCTGAAGACATTTGTTTTCTACAGTATGGAAATTTGGACACACTTTTTTGTTGTTGCTGCCTGCTTTAACATAAGCAAAGCCTTTTGAAATCAATCTGTAGACTAGAGATTTTTTGGATTGTACAATTCAAATTTGTGGTTATCTTACCATTCCAGTGGATGTGGCTGTGTCTTTTTATTCATGAACTGAAATTGTTCAAATACATTTAAAAGAGACCAGTATTGGGTCGCGACTGAGCCAGGATTTCCCACAGGATTTGCCATATCATAAAATTCACGCATCAGTGACTGAATCCCAGGAGTAGTAGATGGGAAGAGCTGAGAACACAAAATATCAGCATAAGTTATGGAAAACAAATTATAATGTAGTATTACTATGAACAGCTTTATACTTAGTCATTTATCTAAAAAGTCAGATATTTGCTAAAAATCCATTGGTCAGTACTATAAATTAGATTTCTGTGAAGTTGTTGATGTAAATGCCACTTTTTATAAGAAATTAATTTTGTTGATGATCATATTTCCAAATGGGATTTTTTTTTCTTTTCATTGAATATAAATGGATTTCTCTTTCCCGTTACAGATACCTGAAGACACCTGAATAACAGAGTTAGGGAGCAGGAAGAATGAGACAGCTTCTTGGGTTACAAATGAATTATGTCAGAGTGAGAAATATTAATCTCCCCCTCTTTCCCCTGCAAAGAAAAATCTGTGGTTATCTCCTTTCTACTGTGAGAACCAGGAAATTGGAATTTTCTCTTTCTCTTGCAAAGTAATTATTTAGTTCTTCCTCAAGTTATGGTGAGAAATGTTCTCCATATTATCAGTATCCAAAGTTAACAAATTCTTGAAGAGTGAAGACAGGTCCCTTTTATTATCTTTTTATAGTATTAAGTCAAACTGTTGTGAAAGTAATACTTATAAGTTTCAAATAGTTAAAATGACATTGTGTCAACTCAATTACCTTTGGGGAAATTAGCTTACTTTGAATCCTCCAAAATTTGGGACTAAATTAGAAAAAGGAGTATCAAACACTCATTAATTAACTTAGTAAGCTGATTAAACTCATACAAGTAGTGTATGTATGTATATGCATATATATCTCATATAGTTTTTACAAGTAAGATAAATACTTGCGTGAAACAGGGTAATAATAAATTATTAATGATTAAGAATGCTATTTCAAAAAGATATTTCATATGAACAAATCTTAGGTGGAAAAATACAAATTGATTTTAGTCTATATAAGTATCAGAACTGGAAAGAAAACAAGTATTGAATACGCATTTCATATGCAATAAATTATCCTTTGATATTGACCAAGGAATTAACAAAATACATAGAAGATAAAATGAATGCCTTTTAAAAAAGATATAAACCAGTTAAAGTTATAATTATTTACATTTTCTTTCTTTGAAGTTTGATATAGAGTTATAAGAAATTAAGGTTTAAGCAGTTTTCTAAAATATTATTTTCAACTCTATATGATTTTACAAAAACAAACAGGGTATAATAAGCAGAAATAATAAACAGAAATAACAAGGATGTAATAAGTGGAAATAACTTTTAGTTGCATGTAAATGTTCTGAAGCTAAAAGTAAAACTTCTTCAGAAAAATGTTGACATTTTCCCCTTGAGAACTGCCAAATTCTAGCAGTTGCTAATCCCATATTATTTTACCTTTAATAAGTCACATATTGTTTGCAAACTCTTAAAGTAATGCATATAAATCTTGCTAATTTTGCTACTTAGATCTCTGAAAAGAGCAAAGTAGCTTATAAAGATTTCTATTTCTTAGAGAAATACTTCATCTAGTTTTATATCAAAATCAGGTAGCTTACAGTGATTTATTCTATTCTCAGTCACCAAGAAAGAATCAAATGTCACTTTTGCTTTACCAGTTGGAATTGTCCCAGACTTCCAAGTTCCTTTATGAAAGTCATAATTGAGTTAATTTCTTCTAAGGATAGACACTGATTTAGTTCCTTTTGATAGTTTTCACCCTGTATTGGTAGGGGGAAAAAACTTAAGCAATTGCTAAAAAGTCAAACCATGTTCAACCCAATTACCTCCCATTTCATAAACCAATCAAATTTTGAGTTATATGAACAACCGAGCTAATTAATGTTAAATAATACATAGCAACTTCAACTTGTCACAGTGGTGTCTGAATATAAGAAAGCTTCATATTTGACAGGGATAAAATAGCTCAATGATGACCTGGATAAAATAGCCCAATGATGCTTTGGTAGTGAGATTGGGGAGATGCTAACGTGTTATAAAAATCAATCAATGTTATTTTGAAGTTCTATGCCCTATTCGTTGGCATTTGCCCAAACATGACAATAGACGTGAATGCTTAAAAAAATTAGTATTATAACTCAAATCCTCTGACATCAATCTGGAGCACTCATTGCTATTCTAAACTACCTCCAAAGAGTTCTAACATTTCTTTTATTCTATAATACATGCAACGAACCTGCACATGTACTCTCTGAACTTAAAAGATGAAAGAAAAAATTAAAAACTAAAAAAGTATTATAGAGTATACAATATATATTATTCATAATACCCACAAACATTTCATAATCCCAGCACTTTGGGAGGCCGAGGCAGGTGGATCACGAGGTCAGGAGTTCAAGACCAGCCTGGCCAATATGGTGAAACCCTGTTTCTACTAAAAATACAAAAATTAATCAGGTGTGGTGGCGCATGCCTGTAGTCCCAGCTACTTGGGAGGCTGAGACAAGAGAATCGCTTGAACCTGGGAGGCAGAGGTTGCAGTGAGCCAAGATCATGCCACTGCACTCCAGCCTGGGTGGCAGAGTGAGACTCTGTCAAAAAAAAAAAAAAAGAAAAAGAAAAAATAAGAAATTATGAACACTTTCCTTAATTTTCAACCTATTATTTTATGATAATCAGTCACTTGACTAGTTAGCTGACATAAAAATAATCTTAGTCCAGAGGTCAGAAAAAATTAAAGTGCGATATAATAGATACCAATTAATTTCAAGTGAATGATCAAGTTGCTGAATTGCACAATAAAGAGAAAGACACCTTCTAAGGAATGACTTGAAAAAATATTTATCAGCACACAAATATGCACTTACCTTCAATATATCTGATCTATAAAGTCTCTGAAATATCTCAGAAAATATGGAAAGTGATGATTCATTAGGGAAGAGAAAATTGAAAGTATCATTTAAAAGGAATTCTTCTGTATTTTGGTCCTCAAAGTCCATATTATCATTATCTTGAAAATGTAAATGCTCGTGTACCTTTGAAAGAGCAAAAGCACAGCAAATATTTTTCATCGATTTACTTTTAAGGCAATGGAATGATTTCTAAGACAGGATTTACTTCCTGTTGGATTACAGATCAGAACTGACATCTAGTGGTCTTTTTGGAGGTCAACAGTTTTATAAATGTGAATAATGTTTGTTTTTTTAAAGATACAATTTAAAGACACAATTAATTAATGTACAGCATAAGAAAACTAATATATTATAAAGTCACATTAGTTTATCTTGATACCCTTTATAGCTGAAGAATATGCTTTCATGGAAGATAATACATAACATTTTTTTCCGCACAATTTTAAAAAGCATAATACAAACTATTAGGTATGCATGCAAAATAAGGAAACAATGACTATTTAAAAGTGTCAATTAATAAAGTTTTAAATTTTTATGGAGAAATCTTGGAGCTAGTTAACCAAACGTCTGAGCCATCTATAATGTAATTGGTTTACCTGTATAATAGTTTGAAGACACATAAATGTTATACAAAGCTGATTTCTAGTTACACATAATTTTATTTTCCCTTTCTTCCTTTTTTCCCACCCCATATTCCAAGGTACAACTTTCTTAGACTAATTTAATAAATTATTTTTTATCTTTTTGCTTCTAAGGGCTATGTTAGAGGAAAAAAAATATGTTGGGGGAGATGATCTGAATGACTGTATTTAATTTGAGAGAAAGGAAAAGAATCAAAATAGATAAAAACACTTCACTCTACACATATCTATACCAGAAAAAGAATTTCAAAAATTCCCATGGTTTTTTTAATTAAATATAAACCAATTTTAAACTAAATATCTATATGCAATAAAGGTTATCTTTTCATAACCTCATGTAAATACACCAGATAATCTGTTACTTTCTATTATCTACACATCTTCTTTTTTCCATTAATGCATGCTTGACTTCATACCACATTTATTTCACAAATAGTACTTGAACTATAGAAAACTTCATGTTTATTTTACAGAGACACATAGACAAGATTAGACTCATAGATTCTCCACATACTAGTTAATTCTCTGAACCACAGTGAATATAAGCCTACAGTACTTTTGCAAATTGCTATTTTTTGATTGGTTACTATGAATGAAAACAACAACACCACACACACACTGATCTTTCACCACAAGGTAGAAGCTCACATCACTCATGAGGCCTTTGGCATACTGACCTGTAGCACTACAGGGTGCATGAAACTGCCATAACCAATATCAAAAGTTAGAAGTTGAAAGCAGAATCTGCATCTAAAATGAAAACACAAGGTACCATAAAAGTAAAGACACAGGCACACGTATGTTTATTACAGCACTATTTATAATAGCAAAAACTTGGAACCAACCCAAATGCCCATCAATGATAGACTGGATAAAGAAAACGTGGCACATACACACCATGGAATACTATGCAGCCCTAAAAGGGAATGAGTTCAAGTCCTTTGCAGGGACATGTATGAAGCTGGAAACCATCATTCTCAGCAAACTAACCCAGGAACAGAAAACCAAACACCGCATGTTCTCACTCATAAGTGGGAACTGAACAATGAGAACACATGGACATAGGGAGGGGAACATCACACACTGGGGCCTGTTGGGGGGAGGGGGTCAAGAGGAGGGAGAGCATTAGGACAAATACCTAATGTATGCAGGGCTTAAAACCTAGATGATGGATTGATGGGTGCAGCAAACCACCATGCCATATGTATACTATGTGACAAACCTGCACGTTCTGCACATGTATCCCAGAACTTAAAGTAAAATCATAAAAACAACCATATCCTCTTGCTACATTTACTCTCATTTGGTGTCACATTAATATTTACTATAGTTAAATTTCAATGTCTACTAATTAAAAAGAGCAGTGGCTTGGATAATGTAAAATTACATGTGATGAATTTTTGGATTTGGCTTCTATTTTATTTCTTACAGAAAATAAAAGTACACCTAAATCTTCATGACACATTAAACTAAGCAATAAAGTTAATCCATGGAAACCTAAATATGAAGAAGAAAACCCTCCTACTCCTACATGCTAGGCACTTATTCATGTATAAATTATGATAAGGTTTAAATTGATGTGCTTCCCCTACTTTTTGACATACTAGATTTAACATTTCGTTAGAAGAAAGGCAATAAGTTATATTCAAGTAAACAGATATGGGAATAGGAGTTATTGAATTTTGTTAATGAAGTTCTTCATTTTCTGCTCTACATTATGAAATCAGTGGGATATTTGAGAATGAAATTTATTACGTATAAGTAAGATTATACCTAGTCAACGCCAGGTATCTATGATAGAGATAGTTGCGCTTGAAAAGGGGGCTGCAATTAAAAGCTTAACTTTTAAAATGTGTACTTTACTTCTTGTTACCACTATTTAGATACTACTGAGTCTGTTACATGTTCTAAAGTTTGAGGATCTATAAATATGGCCACATATGTTTAGAAGATCATATTTGTGTATTGACATAAAATTTTCCAAGTACCACCTACTTATGATAATTAAGATATATTTCCACCAACAATTTTTAAGAGATAGGTTTCTTTCTTTATTTTCTTTTTTAAAATTAAAATTTGTTTTTACCTATGGAAAGTCTTTGGTCCCAACGTAGATGTTTCACTGAATACTTCAGCCGCTAGCAGGAGTTTGCCAATTGCTTCCTTCATAATATCAAAAGCCTGATGAGGTGAACTGGCTCTCAGGAATGTCTCAAAAAATGTTTGCAGCTGTGAACAAAGTAAAGGATTCACGTGTTAAAACAACAGCCTCAGTTTGTCTATCATTTTCAAGGTGACCAATTTGAAGGATTGTTCTAGGTTATCTCTACTTGTCACGCCCCAAAAAAACCCCTTAATCAGTAAGTTTGGTAATCTAAGATACAAGTATATTGAAAGAGAAAGGTTTAAATATATTATAATTTAAATTTCTTTAGAAGTGCTTACTCCATTTTATTTTCCTCATTTCACAGCATCTAATCATGGAAAATGCAAGTCTTGTCATCAGAGCTCTGAAGTTTCATTTGTAACTCTACTCACTAGGTGAGCTGGGCTTGCCACTCACTCCTCCGAATCTTTGTGTCCTTCTCTTTAAATTGGGATTAATATCTACCAACCAGAGAGATGTGAAGCCAAATTAGAAGAAAATGTATTTGAAAGTCATGTTAAAGTATGAAATTCAAATGTTAGTTTTGTATTATTATCAATTTTGGGGGTATATTAGAACAAAAATAAATGTATCAAAGTTGCTTTTTCCTCATGCCATTATTCTGTGCAAGATCTAGCCAACCAGAGAAGATTCTGAGAGAATCCCAGTGTCCTGTTAATGTTTTAATTCTTAATTATTTCATGTGGATAGAGAGTATACGGAGGTATTACAAAAAAGGGGGAATGAAGCTCAATTTGTGTCATCTTAAAAACACAATTGTTAGTATCACAAACAGCTGTTTTTATTTGCTTAAATATTAAAATGATTAAAACAAAACTACCTCTTGATGATGCTTCATATCAAAGTTCAAGTGGATATTTTTTAAAAATATGAAACAAGTCTCATATTGATTCATAAACTTTCTCTGGATAAACATACTCTTTTAAAGATGAAGAACAAAAAATATTTTTTGAAAAAACATGCAGCAGGTATTCTATTAATGTTTTTTGGAAAAACAGACTAAATCTATCCAGACTACACAGGATTGCAAAGTGAAAAACTTTTGTTGCTATGATAAAGAAGGACAAATATTGGCCTGGGTTGCCTGTGGAAAATGGCAAATGTGTCTTCTCAATGCACAAGCAAAATTCCCCCAAGATAAACAAATACTGGCTTCATAAACTTTTCCAGCTGAAAACAGAAACCTAATAAGATTACACATAGAGACCCTAAGAATGTGTCATTAGTATTTGGCAATTGGGATGTTTTTCCATTTTACTAAGGAAAATAAATGTAATAATTGTATGATTAAAAGAAAACAAATTATTGCTAACACTAAAAATGTTAACACCCTTGAATCAAAGCAGAGTAACATTATGTTTTTCCAAGTAAAAGTAACTCATCATATTTCACTCATTTCACCACATTATGTAGAAAGGTTTATTTGTGACATTGTTGCATTTTCCTAGTTTAATGTTACCTGAATATCATGGAGGTTAAGGTTAATAATATATGAAAGTTGGAAATGTCTATGTAGCATATGATTTTTATGATTAATAAAATTAATCATATAAATAAGATTAATTTTAAGATTATATCTCCATGAGGAAGAATAATTAGCAAATTAATGTCTTAGGGTTGCACTTATTTCTCTAAAATGAAAATGATTATTTCTTAATTTCTTAATGTAACAATGAGCATTTAAATATGGGATGCCATTCAATTCAACTTTTAGAGAGAACTGCAGCCTTTACAAAGCCCTGTGTTCTGTGCTTTGGGGGACAAGTTGCATAGTACATAGGTATTACCTCTATAGACATTAGAGGTAAAAAGGTCCAGGTTCAACTTTGGTTTTGTGCCAAAGTTGTGAGACTTTGTGGGATCAATAACAGTGCCTACTTTATAGAGGTATCGCTGAGATTAAATGAGAGAATGTACATAAGGAATTCCACCACCCAGCACATCTGTATTCAGTACATGTCAGTTCCTTTTATTTTTTATTAATTAAAACAAGACAACTGGGCATGGTGGCTCACGCCTATAATCCCAGCACTTTGGGAGGCCGAGGTGGGCAGATCACCTGAGGTCAGGAGTTCAAGACCAGCCTGGCCAACATGCTGAAACCCTATCTCTACCAAAAATACAAAAATTAACCAGGAATGGTGGCACACACCTGTAATCCCAGCTACTCGGGAGGCTGAGGCAGGAGAATCACTTGAACCCAGGAGGCAGAGGCTGTAGTGAGCCGAGACCACACCAATGCACTGCAGCCTGGATGACAGAGCAAGACTCCGTCTCAAAAAAAAAAAAAAATCCAGATGAGCGAGATTCCTTATTTCACATTCATTCAGTATAGTGGCAAGCAAACTACATATGCCAGAAATGAAAGTAGAATCATGTGAACGCTTAATATGAATTTTGAAAAAATCATAAACTTTCAAAGTCTCCCAAAGAAAGCACAACTTGTATCGGTTGTTGTAACTCACTCACTTAGACTAAGTGAACCACTTTTTTGAGTGTCCGGTTACATTGCAATTTGTTACTCTAATTGTATTTCCTTGGTCAAATTATATGAGTTCTGTGAGTCTCAGTGCAGAATGACAGAACTATGCTCAATGATCTCATGAGACAATGTCAAATCTGAAATTATTTGATGTTAATTCCATTCAAATGCCACCGGAACCTGAACAATTTCACTCAGGCACTTTCTTAACTCACAAACACCTGAAGGAGCACCTTCACCTTCGCTGCTAATTTAAAACAGTCAAGCCATGAACTTAAATATTAAGAAGACTTCTTCCTCTCCATATCAACACTTCCAATCAATGTTTTTGAATTAAATAAATGTGAGAATGTAAGTTCACAAGGAAATTGGTACATTGGCAATAAAATAAATATGAATAAAAGAACATCTTGTAACTTTTAACATGACATGAAACTATTTTGTAAACTATAAATTTTCTTCCTTCAGTGTAACTTTCAGTGCAAAATAAATTATATAGAAAATGACGTTGTAAGATCACAGTCGTAAAACCAGTCAGCTAACACACCATCATTTGTTTGTACCTGTGTAAAATTCAGGCAATAACTAGTAAGGTATTTACATTTTTACAACATTGATCCATTCAAGAAACTTATTCAGATACAAGTGGGTGGACTAAAATTTTCAATTAATTAAAAATGGAAGGATAAGAGCAACAGAATGCACTTAAAAGCATATAGAAAAACTTCGATCATGTCTGATATCTTTTTCCAAGGTGTCCTTGGTATCCACTTCATTCCACCACATACTTTACAACTCCTCCCATGTTATGCTCTGGGTTCTGCCTCATTATTTCTCTCCATCCTCCCATAAGACCTTGCTTGGCTGAATTGATCTCAATGTCAACACATGTCATTTGTTCCGTGTTAAACTTGCCGACCTTCTTGTCTGCTCTTTCTGCTAGACTGTGAGGTTTTTGTTTTTTGTTTTTGTTTTTGTTTTTTTTTTTTGGAGGGGGGTGTTCAGGAACTGTCCCATTTTATCTTCTGGATTCCAGTGCTTAATGCTAAGTAGGTATTCAGTAAATACTGTTGAATAAACAAACCTATGATGTTACAGAAACCACAGATACCTTGATAAGAGAAACACCTTACTGTAGTTTCTGGGTAACATCACTTTCCTCAGGACAGCATGCTTATCTCTTGCTCACATCTCGTGAGAGAAGGAGAATATAAATTTTTCTGGTGTCTTGTAATAAAACCTTTGAAGAACAGAAGCTTATAGCTGTTTGAGAGAATTTTGGAGATGAGAAAATTTAATCTATGAGTTAGAATGGAGGATGAAAGATTTACCAGTATTAGGGTTTTTCAAAATAATGTTCTTGAATGAGAAACCATAGCAGAATGTCATGTTTAACAGCATTATACCTTACTAAAGTACACCAGGGCTTCTCTCAATGTTACTATGTATGAAAGAACTTTTCATCTTCTCAGATTAATTAATATTGGTACTAAAGTCAGATGAAGGAATATTGGTACTTAAGGTCATTTTGCACCAACATCATATTAAAAAGATGCTCAATATCACTGATCACTAGGGAAATGCAAATTAGAACCACAGTGAGATATTGCCTCACACCCATTAGGATGGTGACTAACAAAAACAAAACAGAAAATTATCATTGGTGAGGATATTAAGAGACTGGAATCCCTGTGCTTTGATGGTGGAAAAGTAACATGGTGCAGCCACTTGAATAGCAATTTGGTGGTTCCTCAAGAAATTACAAATAGAACTACCATACAATCCAGCAATTCCACTTCTGGGTATACAGTCAGCATAATTGAAAGCAGGGTCTCAAAGACATATTTACACACCCGTGTTCATAGCTCATTCTTACCAGTATTCAAGCTTGCTGTTGATATTTTGCATCCTAAAAAATTCAAGGATAATAAGGTGTTCAAGAATAAAACCAAGACTAAAAGTAGGTGGCATGAAAATAGAAAATATTTCCACTATTGTTGGAACTGAGAAATAGAGTAATGAAGGGGTTCTTTTTTGTTTCATTTTCTTTTGCAAAATTTCTACCTTGAAATAATTGCTTTTAGGGGCTTTGGTGTTATGCAATTAGCAAGTGGATAAACATGACAATTGGAGAAAATGCAGCTGTGAAGACTGCAAAGTTATTTTTTAAAGTTTGAATTGTAGTCATATACCTGTAACGTGCAATGTATGATAATCCTTTCTAAGTGTACACTTTAGTAGCTTTAAGTATTTTTACACTATCGTGCAACCAATCTCTAGAACTTTTTGCACACCTGAAATTATATACCCAGTAAACATGTCCCCATTTCCCCCTCCTCCCAGCCCCTAGCAACCACATTCTACTTTCTGTTTTTATGCATTTGACTACTCTAGATACCTCATATAAGTGGAATAATGCAGTGTCTTCATGACTGGGTTATTTCACTTAGCAAGTATTGTCAAGGGTCATTCATGTTGTAGCATGTATCACAATTTCCTTCCTTTTTAAGGCTGGATAATATTTGTTATAGGCATATACTACATTTTGTTTATCCCTTCATCTACTGATGCACCTTTGGG